GTATGGGGCAGTCCCGCTGTCCAGGGGCCTTGGCATGGCCCAATTCCCATGCGAGCATGCCGTGGTCGCTGAGCTTCCTGTCTGAGAGTGCGGCCGGGTCTGAGGCGAGGTGGGCGCGCATGGAGATGCCGTGGGCGGCCTCGGGCGGCGCCGAGACGTAGTGCCGGTCCAATGTCGAGGATTTATGCCGGTGCACGTCGTAGTGCGTTGGGGAGTCGATCTTGACTTCCAGGAAACAGCCGAGCACCTGCTGCCAGTGCCCGGGTGCGGCTTGATCACGGCGTGCCCCGCGCTGTCGAGTCCGCCGCGGATCCTCGTGCGATAAATGGGCGCCGTCGTCGAAGTTGAGGTCCCCCCGCGCCGCCGCCGGGCGTTGCAGCGGGGCTGCGGGAATCCGTTGGCGGTGCGTTTTCACTTCTCCAGCCAGTCGGTGCCGATCATGGTGCGTCAGGCCGTAGTTGTGGATGTTCAGCAGCGCGAGGGCTGAGGCGCTGCCTGTGGGACAGCCGCGAAGCGGCAGCGGCCGCGCGGCCACGCGGCCGGGGCAGCGACTCTCGTGGCAATCTAAATGGTCGCCGTCAGGGTCGCCCAAACGACCAATTTGGCGAAGAAGTGGGCGATGGGCGTGAGCATGAACGGGGCGTGGACGACGTGCCGGCCGTTCGAGGAGCTTGTCCTGGTAGAGCGTGGGCTGGAAGATGCCGCAGAATGGCTGGCAGAATGCGCAGCGCCCGGCCCCCCTGCGCACTCGGAGCGCGCAGGCGAAGAGCATCGTGAACGTGCCGGCGACTCTGGAAGGGCGTCTGGGGGCACGGCCTCAGGCTGAGGCTGGCCAGGCTGCGTTGTTGCGGGTTCGTCAGCCGGCGGAGGTGCGGCGAACGACAAGGACATGTAGGGGGAAGACGCCGGCTGGTCCTCGTGGATCGTGGCCGGAGGCTTCGCGATATGGAGGGCCGCGACGCGGCCAGGAACGATCTCGTCCATCCACATGTGGTCCTCGACGGGGCCTTGGAGGATTCCCATCGGAACCAAGAAGGCCAATCCGCCAGCACGAGTGCTGTTGGCACAGCCCGAATAAAATAATGTATATCGTATGATACGGGAGGCTCGAGAGCCATGCCCTGAGCCGCTCCTCATCGCCATGGGCCTCCTGGGCCGTGACCACCGCACCTTTTTGTAGGAACTTCCGCAGCGCCGCCTGCTTGCGCCTTCGTTTACCACCGAAGGAGCGAAATTGGCGATGTGCATTCCAAGTCACCACAATCAGGGGGCTGCACGGGTCCGCCCAGGGGGCCCAGCACCGGCTAGGACCACGGCGCGTCGGAGCCCTGGTCCCAGAAGAGCCTGTGGAAATAGTTGTCGATGAGGTCGCAATTGATGCCGAGCCGTTTCGCCTCAGGCCGCATCCACTCGATCTTGGAGGGCTCGTCGGGCACGTTGGGGACGATGACCCTGGCGATTGGCATGCGGTCGACTTTGACCTCGCCCTTGCTGCGGTGTGGCCAGATGTCAAGCCTGCCATGGGTCTGGGCCAGGCGCTTGGTCTGGAACTCCATGCGCTGAGTGCGCGGAGACCGGTCAGGGTTGATGTATAGGGGCCCTGCGGGACCAGCCACGGTGGGGGCGCTGAACTGCCGCCGACGCCCATCTGGGGACTTGAGGGCCTGGGCCATGGCGAGAGCGCGGGCGTTGCCGACGACGCCGCCGTGCACCTCGACATGGAATCTCCGGCAAGGGCCGGCGCCATGGAGCGTGATGCGTTCTTGCTGTAGTCCTGCTGCCTGCAGCCAGGAGCTGAGGGCAAGCTGCGCTGCTCCTGGGGCTGTGTCGTCCTTGGCGTTGACCGTGAAGAAGTTTGGTTCCAGGTCGCGATCCCAAGCGGCGAGACGCACGAGGTCCGTGACGCCCGCGGCACGCTCCACGATGCGAAGCGTTTCTTCGATTTCGCGGACCTTCCCGGCCAGGACCGCCTGCTGGGCCTCAGTGGCGTCGACCCGTGCGGAACATTCGTGGACATCGTCGCGGAGCTCGTCGACCTTGCCGTCCAGCTTGGCGGCGTGGTCGGCGACGAGGCTGGAGATCTTATTGTGGAAGTCGGCCGTGACGGTCCGGCAGGCCGTCTCGAGCTGGGTTGCGGTGCTGCCCAAGATGTCTGCCAAGGAAGTTTGCATGTCCTCAGGACAGGAGGCCGGGAATCGGTCGACGGACTCCTTGACCCGGTCACTGGGGGAGGGCCCGGCTGGCCCGGGGGCTGCAGGGCGAGCGCCAGCAGCCGCAGCATCAGGAAGGCCATCAGCAGCAGCCGCAGCCGGGACCCCAGCTGCCGAGCCCGCGGCACCTGCTGGCGCGGGCGGACGGGTGCGTAGGCTTTTGGGGGCCCCTTGCGCACCCGGGGTCCCGCTTGGTTCGTCCTCGGGCTTGCGTCGCTGGGCGCGCGACGGAGAGCGCTGGACAGGCCGAGCGGGGGGGGCCGGCGGCGGCGAAGGGGTGACTGAGGCTGGGGCAGGCGCCATGGCGGCAGCAGCCCACGGATCCGCAGGTCCTTGAAGCGGGTCAGAGCGAGCGACAACAGCGCCAGCAGCTGGGGGCATGCGCCGGCGGCCGGTTGCATGCACGGGGGCCGCTGGCGGCCGAGCACTTGAGCCAAAATGACTCTGGAGGAGGAGGGATGATGATGATGATGATGATGATGATGATGATGATGATGATGATGATGATGATGATGAGGAGGAGGAGGAGGAGGAGGAGGAGGAGGAGGAGGAGGAGGAGGAGGAGGAGGAGAAGGGGAGGAGGAAGAGAGGAGGAGGAGGAGGAGGAGAGAAGAGGAGGAGGAGGAGGAGGAGGAGGAGGAGGAGGAGGAAGCAGCACGGGCTTGTGCCCAAGTTCGCAGGCCCGCCGTGTGGGACAGGAGCGGCCGGCCCGGGGCGAGGCTCGGGGGGGCGCGCCTGGGGCTCCTCCTCCTCCTCCTCCTCCTCCGCCTCCTCCTCCTCCTCTCCTTTCTCCTCCTCCTCCTCCTCCTCCTCCTTCTCCTCCTCGTGCCGCGCGGGCGAGGGGAGGTCGAGGGCTCAGGTTACCGTGATTTCCCGTTCGGCCCTGCCCCCGCAGTGTGATGTGGGATGCAAGATCCGAACGACGTTGCGCTGCTGCTCCTCCTCTCGAGAGCTGCCGTCCTTGCCTGAGCCGTGTGCTCAGGCCAGCCTCGGGCGCTGTCAGCTCTGCTCGAGCCTACGTAATGCTTGCGGACGCCAGGATGATACGAATCTGCCGCCATTCGGCCCCGCCCCTCTTTTCTCAGACTTTTAGGTCCTGGCTGATCTTGCTCGACTTGCACCCTCTGCGAGAGATCATTAAAAGAGGACCATGAGGGGCAAGAGTGGGAAGGACGGGGAAACGGTGTGAGGAGGATGCCAATAATTTCAGAGGAAGAAACGGGGTGATGATGATAGTGATGACTATTATCAGTACGATGATGAGGAGGGGGAGAAGGAGGAGTAGACGAGGAGGAGGAGGAGGCGAAGGAGGAGGATTATCGTTTCGATTTTTGTTTCGCGGCTGCGGGCTGGTGGTGGGTCTTTAGGCGTACGCGCCATATTGGAGTGCTCCCTTCCTCTCTCCTGATTTTCCCGCTTTCCTCTCTACACCCTTCGCCACCCCACTCCCTGCCTTCCTTTCCCTTCCTTCCGTCACCCCACTCCCTGTCCTCTTTCCGACGCCTCTGAGCACACGTGTGCGAGGCCGACGAGCAGGACATTGGATCAGCGCTCCATGCAAGCACGCTTGTGGCTTGGGCGGGCCAGGCAGCAACCCCCCCGCCTTCCCCATTCCTTCGGGGTGGGGGGAGCCCCGATCCCTGCTCTGGCCCCCTCCCCCTCGCTGCCAGGCCCACACGGCCCCCCAATCTGGCCGAAATCGGCGCGTCCCCCCGACATGCTGACTGCAACAGTTCAACCTGACTGGCCTCGACCGAAGTTTCGACCAGCTCCCGTATGATCTGGTATGACTTGGCAGCGAGGGCGTGGGCCCAAATCAGACCATCCCATGCTCTCACTACCCTCTGGGCTCAGATCCCAGAATCTGTGCTTTTCAGAGACGTGGGCGCCCAGGCCTCTCGTCCCCACTCTTGGGGGCATATTTTTTCCATCGCGGGTCCTTCTTTTGATGCTCCCCCCCGAGGACCACATGATGAACAGACGCCCCGGTTGTGCCTCTTCCCCGACGCCTGGAGGCCTGGGAGGACCTCCTACCTCAGGGTTGGCCCCAAAACCCCTCGCGGGGTGCTCTCTGGGAATCATCAAGACTCCTTCTCCTCCTTGTCATTCCTCCTCCACGTGACAATTTGTTTTCGGGTCATGTTTCGGACCTCAGGCGGCCGGCGGCCGTGCGGGACGATTCTTGCGTCCCTGGGAGACAGTGCGTCTGCTGAAGGCACCCTGGGACCCGGAAGTCTCCACGAGTCTAAAACATCATTTCGAAAACCTTACCTTCGTTCGCTCCTTCTTCGAAAGCCTTTCCACGAACCTCGGCACTTCCCGTTCCCTGGGCCCGCCTGGGGTGCACTCTGACCAGGACCTCGAGGCTCGTCCAGCCGTGGCGACGAGGGAAACCCCCGAAGGCCCAGAAGAGGAGGACGACGATGAGGATCGGGTAGAGGACGAGGAGGCGGAGCAGAAGGAGGAGAAGGCGGAGGACGAAGGATAGTGTGATCAACGACATAGTCACGCACATGACACAGACACACACACACGTATAACACGTAAGCATCTGGCAAAAACTATCATGCTGGCAGCTGCTCGTAAACCTTCGGAGAAGAGGAAGTATGACTATGATGCTTACTTTCATGCTGATGAAGGTGGCAGTGGTGATAATGATGTTGATGAGGATCATGTAGATGAGGATGATGGTGATGCTGCTGTTGTTGTTATTTGATGATGATGATGTCGATGATCATGCTGGTGATGAAAGATGAAGATGAAGACGAAGAAGAGATCTCCCTTCCCTTC